TTTTTTTTTTTGACCAGATCTTGAGACTGATTTGAAAGCAAAATTTGTATTCCCTAACAAGTACAAAAGCAACCACCCACCATATGGTCCTTATTTTAACACCCAAACTTAAAATTCAGAGTCCCGTTTCAATTTCTATTACTCGTCTTGGAAACAAAGAAGAAACGATTCTAGATCAATGGAAGGCGAAGCTTCATTGTAAGTGACGTGAAACCCAAATTCTCCTTATGAAACTTGACTTAGAAATTTCTTTCATTGATCATTTTTTAAACCCATGGCAGGTTTGAGACTAGTGAAATACTGGCAACCTTTCTGGCCTCCACACCACTGCTATCTGAGTCCTGGAATATTTGCAGCCATGCCAACGCCACAGCACCGCAAAGTTTTATCTCGAATCGAATCGGGGCCGTGACTTATGTTGCCTTTTCCGGGGTGCAAGCGGTTGCCGGGTTGGAACCCGGTTGCAGGAATCTGGTACCGTTGCACGAGACTGCAACCGGGCTGTTTCCTGCGTTGCATCGGCATGTTGACGGCGAAGACCCGGTCATGGTTCACGAGGGGTTGTTGCATCTGTTCCTGTCTATGTATAACAGCCAAATCTTCCAAAACCAGGTCAGTTTCTTCATGTTTCATCATATGCATATCCCATAATTCTTGGGTTTTGTCAACAAATTCCGGCTAAGCAAGTCATCTTCTGATGACAATCAATCTTTTACCAATCAAAAATTAGTATTTTAGAAGGATGAATTGTGCGGTTGACATTTAGGATGAATGGGATTCCATATTTATATGCACAGTAATATAGAAACGAAATTCAAAATTAATTTCTAATGAACTGTCTGGAAGTAGCTGGTAATATACAAATGACAATCTTCGAATTAGGATTGAAAGCTTCAGACAACTAGCTTCTTCCTGTCCTGCCATTTGGTTTATTATCCTACCATCCGATTACATGTTATAAATGACACAATAATCTTTTTACACAGTTGATAGATGTTCTACAAAGTTTCAGACAAGGACTAATTGTTTCCTTTAGAGCTAGTCAATCTTTGAAGTCAAACTTAGGAAAGCAATAGTATAATACTTATCAACAACCCTTTATTTATACAATACAAGTTAAAAACAATGTATTGTGTAAAAATTTCTATTATTTGCATTGAACAATAATTTAACTCTCTTAATTCTTCATTTTAATTGATTAGGTTATTTTTAATTTTAGGTCTTAATGAATTTGTGTAGTGTTAACATCTCACCTCAAGAACAATCACCCCTAATTATAAGTGAAAGGAGTTGTTCTATGTTTGGCAAGTTGATTATTTTAATACACATATTCAAATCACCTAGATGAGACGTGGCTTTGGGTGATGGCTTTTCTGGAACCTGTCCCTGGAAGATTAAATTTAACTGAATAACTTTTTTTTTAAAGAAACATTTTATGGGTGGAATGATAATGAGAGACAACTAGCTCTGAGGAGGAGGACTGGAATACCATAGGAGAACAAGATTATAATCTATATATATTTTTTTTTGGGTAATTCATTGGCATATGATTTCGTTAGGCATGAACCTAATTTTGTTTGTCTCTATGGAAAATTTGATTACCTGCAAGTGTTAACCAAGCTGGAATAATTATATACCGACCATCACTGATAGAATGTCAAGTAAATTGACTGTGACTTGTTTGTCCCAGATAAGTCAAGTGGGTCTAGGTGCATGATGTTCAAAGGAAGCCTCCTGTATTTTTCATTTTAGACGGTCAAAAAAAGCACAATACAACTTACTAGGAGCCCACTCTCTCATGTCTCATATGTTGGCCTTAAATCTTCTTCATTCTTTTTCTCAATTTCCAATTTGTCTATTTCTGTGAATTTCAATCCATCAAATGTTCACTGATTAGGTCGTATTAGTGGATTTTTATAGGTCCTTTTTGGTTAAATCAACTGAAATTAGTGGAGCCAAACTCGCAATTACGTCTCACAANGAGAAAGGAGGTGTCTAGAGATGTTGTGGCCAAAACCTCGAGCTATAGTTTGTGGGTAGAGGAATGGAGAGAATTAAAATCACAGGTCCAGCAATTCCCTCGTCAATTTTTTAGTTTTCTGGATGGTGAAGTAGTCCCATAGATGATACTATTGTTTGTGGTACTCAAATATTATGAAATCACTTATTGAAATTTTTGATTTGAATTATGTAAGTATAACAAAACAATAACAGTCAAGTGTGAAATAATTACACAGAAACAATCTTACACGAAAGATTTACATGGAAGAGTTACATGTAAGAGTTATATTTAATTTTTTGTCAAACTAATATAAATACTAACCTGTTTGCAGTACATAATTTAAAATAGATCAAGGCTAGTGTTTGACACTTTATTTTTAAGACGGATTTCGCCCTTACACACGGTGTTTATGGAATATCGAGCATCTACCTCCTAAAATACAATGATCTTTACATGAGCAGAAGTAACATTCCAATCTATTTGTCTAACAAACCAAAAATTATATTGTGTACTCTCCAACACACTGTCTTAATGCTGAAATGCAAACTGTAATGCACTAATATATTCCTTAATGCCAAAAATGGATTGAACAATTAATGAAATAAATGCATGCATGCATGAACTGAGTATTTATAGGCACTTTAGTGACGAAAATTTTTTGGACAGTCACCATACTATAAGACATAATCCAGAATAAACACAACAACCAGGAGATACCACTGTTTTAACTATTCTGTATGAATAGACACAAACAAATTTTCAAACTTGAAGGAAGCAAAAATCTGATCCAGTGCAATTTAATAGATACCGAAAACTAAATTCAAATTGAGAAATCCACGCCCAATTAAGCAAATGAATTTTTTTCAAAAAAATAGGACTTGGTTTAAACTACACCCACACCCGTACCCGAACCCGAGTCGGGCCGGGCCGGGCCGTGGCGTGGCGGGCACCGCCCGCGCGCATGTGTAGTCGAACCGAAGGCATGTAGGCGTTGTAGGTGCTCGCTCCGCTCATAAAATTGTGGTATCTCTTAGGATCCAATCCCATTGAGCAAACTTGTCCTATATATGCCCATGTTAAATTTCTTCCTCAACCAATGTGAGATTGATGTCAAATCCCACTTTGCACAACTTTTATTTTCATATTTTAAGAGGGTCACTTTGAAGCCTATTTTCTCATTCATTTTTTTATTCGATTTGAGCAAGTGAATATACTACATTATTTTCCTCACGGAGTAGAATATTAACCTACGAAATTTCACTCAAAATAACGAACGGGTCTCACTTTAATTTAAGCTCATAGTCGACCAAAATATTAGTTTGCATACTTAAAAAATTGTTTTGGTCTAACAATCCCCTACATGAATGAAAAATTGGATATTAGCATGCAAATGATAATGCTGACACACTATAGAGAGTATATATTTAGAAAGATTGTACATCAAGATATGTAGATTTTGGCCTTGAACCTTCCCAAGTGAAAGTCCATTGGACTTACCGGCTAAATAGTGAACGTAATGTTTTGAACTATAAAGCTGTTTGATAAATCAAATCGAAGAGACTTCACATAATCTCTTTCCTAACACAATTGGTGCTCATGATTGTGTTCATTTTGGCTCTGAACAACTCCTAATTTTCATGAGTACTTTAGAGAATTTAGCCTTTATAAATTCTCACAGAAGAGACCCTTTCACACTCATATAGGTGACTCCTATTAAGAATATCTTGCAATATCCGACTTGAAATTTTCAAGGTATAAGAGTCATTAAAAATATAACTTACCCTAATAAAATCTATAGGCAACACTAGTTTATCATAGGAATAGGTAGGAAAGATTATCTCCTTAATGCTTCNTTGAATTATGTAAGTA